TGTGGTTGTAAAAACGTGTACTTGTCTTTAACAGGCCGTTGTGGCAAAAACAAAAACCCAGCCCCTCCAGGTCCGTGAGCGCCGTCGACCGCGGAGAGCCTCGGTGTGAATCTGGAGATTTGTGTCTCCGCTGCCCTTCGCGTGTGATCCCTCCCCTCGCGCTGCTCACAAAACGTGTGTGTGCAGCGCGCGACTGAGGTCGGGTTGGGCTACTGCTACTTTCACGTGCTCCTCGTAAATATAACTAATAGGCATTAAAAAATGATTTAGGTTGAAAATACACATAGTGTAACACAGGTGGTATCGGTATGGTGTTGTCGGGGGCATTTTAAATAATATTTTAGGAAGACAAAAGGAAGCTGTAGCCAGAGAAGAGAAGAGGAAATCCTTCTGGACACACAACGTTTGAATGTAGCCTGCCTAGTGCTTATCAGAGTATGTTAAAAACAAATAACAGCCACAGTGAGAAAGGGGTTGTTACGTAGCTTGTATTGTTAGACTAGCCTTTATAACAGCAATTGTCATTAATATGTATGCAAGCATAAGAAAATGGAAAAATGGCAATTCCCATAAACAGACAGTACTTGAAAGCAGCACGGATTAAGCCTAGTGTGTGTGTGTGTGTGTTGTTGTGTTGTGTGTGTGTGTGTGTGCGCTCTCGCTGCGCTCTGTTTGTGAGGCAGAGAGTTGCGTGCGAAGAGCTCGACATGTCATTCAGAGGAATCCGCCACCTGAAACGCGAGGAAGTGAAGGCGACTCAATTGGGTATAAAGCATCAGCCAACATCTGCCCCGAGCAGTGCAAAGCTGATGAAAACATCAGCTCGGAGCTCACAGAGGACCTCTCCGATTTGTTTTATTTCTCTTGGATTTATCATTTGGCATTACCGAGTCGGTGCACCCAGGGACGCATCTCTTTTTTTGCACTTAAAGTGAATGTGGCTCAACAGCAGACATTATACTGGAATTAACTGATACCCGCCGAGATTCTGGGTGAGTGCTTTTATTGTTGTGATATTTTTGTGCCATGTTATTAACATTATTATTCTATTGTTTCTTTACTGGCATCCTGCATGTCTTCTGTGCTTTTTAAAATATTGATCAGATAAGTTGCTTGTATGTTATTTTATTTTGAAACTACTGGCAATTATTTATAGGCTATTGAGCTTTGACGCGCCATCAATCTTAATAATTAGCCAATGCACAGCCTGTTTTGTTTACATATTAACTAAGGGTAATTAGGGTTATTTTGCTTTAATTTTAGGGATGCGGGGATTTACTGCAAATGTCACCCCAAGGAGTGACTTTTAGTGGCATAATGTGCAACAACCGGTCGGGTCTGAATGCTCACTGTGTTCCATGTGTTAAGTTGAAGTTAACTCTCTCTATCTCACCCGCAGCGCACCTGTTACCTCCACGGAGCGCAAGACCATGATCCCTCCGGGAGACTGCATGTATGCGGGCCGAAAGAGGAGGAAGCCCATCCAGAAACAGTTAAGGAGCGCTGCTGAATATGTTCCATTTGTTGTATGGCTTCTTGCAGACTACTGGCCGCACATTTTGTGGGTGGCTTTTATTTTTTTATTTTTTTTACTACCCTGCTAATGTACAGGGGACACTTTACTCTCATGATTTGGTACGTTAAAGAATAAAAGGAAAGTTACTGAGCTGCAGCAACATGAAGGTGGAAATAACGGTAGAAGCTCCAGTTGGTGTTGACTGGACTTTAAATAGAAATTGAGCACAGAATAAAATTATATATATTAATCAGATATATCAGTGAGAATAGCTTTATTTGTTGCAAACATACTGTTAATAATATAGCACTTATTAATAGTTGGCTATTATAAAGTGGTTGTTTATTTGTATATACGTTTATATGTGTATTTGCCTCCCTAATTATTGGCAGCAGAATAACATTTAGCATAAATTTATACATATATATACATATATTATGTTCAATCTACATACGTGCAGGCAGTGTGTGTTTGGTTGATGGTATTTTAGTTGTCCATTGTTTTTGATGAAAAGGGGGACAACTGTTTTTGGAGGATCTTATCGGCTGATGTCATGAATAGTGAATCTAGGTTATATAAGATTTTGAAGAGGGAAGTGGTAATATAACAGGGCCTGTGGCATTTATAAAGTTTTCATGTTTTGCCTTGCCTTTGCTGCAGAACTGAAAGGAAATCTTTGCCACATCAAATCGATACTGTTTGTGCAATGGGCACACCTATACTCTTGAAATTCTAGTCTGCAAGTTATTTTAGGATATTGAATTATAATTCAGTGCATCCTGTTATTCATTGATCTTAAGCAATGCTCTTTTAAAAAAAATTGAAATGTTCTTGTTTTGGCTCCTTCAGTTCCTAATAAATACTGTGGGACTTCCAAGTGAAGTAAACTTTTTACTACTTGAGTTTAGCTGAATAATCCTTGACATCCACTCGCATTCCTGTGTGTATTTTCCAGTCATAACTTATGGAGAATAAGTGATTATGAGTTGTTTCATCAGAATACAACAAAGTCAGTGCAATCATGTAAAAGTATTCCGTCTCTGTGGAGATGAACGCAAACTCTCAGCTGTGGAAATCGGAGCTGACCATTACATATGCGGATCATGTTAAGTTCAGCTGGTGAAGCTGTGGTACACTTTACTAAAATACACAAATAACTCTGTGCCTGAGCAGCAGTTTAAATTCTCTATGTCACCAGGGAGGATGCAGTATATGTCCAACACATTTACTGACAGGAGTTGCTAAGAGGGAAGGAACGGCCACAGAGTATTTGAGTAAATACAAATATCTTTCTTTAATGTAAACCTATTTGAAGATTTGAAGGAAGAGAACCTTGACTCAACTGTTTGTTTGTTTTTGTCCTGTTGTGAAGAAACAAATCTTACTTGTCATCGGAGGAAACAAACCAGTGGTGCATGGTGTATTGGGGAAGGCTGAGTCAAAAGGAAATACAGTTTAAAAAAAGAGGGACTTGTGTAGAGTGTGGTTTATTTTGTTGTATGTCTACTTGGGTTGGCTTGCCAGAGTCAGACAAAGCGTGATCCTGTAGTTTATATCGCTATAATGAGGAACAAAACTGACAGGTAACTATTTATGAATTCATACTAATGTTTCCTCTAATAGTTTAGTGTCCTATTTTCACCCAATAAACAGTTTTAAGAGTCAGGTATTACTCAAATTTTTCCCCAGAAACTGAGCGGATATGAGCGTTGTGAAGTTTTGTGTGGTGAAATACATTAAATGCAGGATATTAGCCAGAGTTTAGAATTATATCACTGATCATGAATAACATTATCTTTTAGCCCAAGACCATCAGGGGTCGGCAATCTCTAAAAAAAGGCCTGTGTCATGTGGTGTGGATGAGTTTCAATCTAACTTTGCAATTAACAGTAGCGGCTCCAACAAGTGAAGTTAACCAAGTTAATCCGTGTCTGTGTGCTGCTGTCACTTACTGCCTGCTGCGTAAGTGTGCTAAAACGGTTCTTATTTTACAGCTGAATGCATGATCTCTGACAAGTCTGTCCACACACACGTCCCGATGGCCATTCAACCCCATCTATCTCTCTCCCCTCTCTCCGTCTTGTCATCAGGAAGCCGTCTTCCTCCAATGAGAAAACCAACCCGTCCAAGCGGCACAGAGACAGGCTGAATGCTGAGCTGGACCGGCTGGCCAGCCTGCTGCCGTTCCCCCCGGATGTCATCTCCAAGCTGGACAAGCTGTCCGTGCTGCGCCTCGCAGTTTCCTACCTCCGCGTCAAGAGTTTCTTCCAAGGTAAAGATGACATTTGTTGTGACAGGTTGGGGGGCTGGGGTATTTGGTTTGTTGTTGTTGAAATTTGTCTTTGAGTTCGTAGTAAGCTGCTCAGTTGGCATTAACATGGGGTTAATGAGATATCTGCTGCTGTAATTGACTTATAGGTCAATGTTAAATCTGAAATCAGATGCTACATAAGTATACAACAATATTTTATCAATATTAGTAGTAGTAATGTGTATTTGTCATAGTAATATCCTGGTTTCAGGAAAAGAAAAGAAAAATACTATTTTGCAGTATTGTGGAAATTGTCACTTTAAATATTTTCTACATCACTAATCCTTTGAAACCCTGTGCTGAATGCTGTTGTTAGGGGTCCAGGACTCAAATATGTGGCTGAAACAGAAAGAGATTATGCTCAGTAAATGAATCTGTTTTGCTTCTATCTGCATTCTTTCTCTCATATGTCAGCAGTGCATCCAGTTATAGTAAACTCTTAGAATAACCAATGAAACGTTTTCTATGGGCCTCATGAGTAAGAATCCCCCAGGCTCTATGACTTGAACTGAGATAAGAGCTACTACCTGACAATGTAAGGCACAAAGGATAAATTGTTTGCATTATAGGGGGTGTGCTCTTCTGCGTTGTCTTTAATCAAGCTTTTCTTTTTTTTTCCGGTCACTATATTTTGTGGTCATGCCCCATTAGCTGATATTGAAGAGAATGTATTTCTTATGTTATCTCATTCTCCCGTGTTGCTGATACTCCCTTTTTGTCTTGTAGTCACATGTAATTAAAAGGCATTTCAAGGCACACTCTTGTTTTCCCACCCTCCCACCATCCACTGAACGCCTCCCTTCCTCTCCTCATGTTACTCCACAATCCACTTCAAATATTCATGGGCCGCTTCAGAACGCGTTTCGTTGCCGCCGGCCTTCAGCGGCTGCCTTATCAGCACAGAGGCTACTGGCACAGCTGGATGCGGCAGCTCTGAAAAACAAGAGTTAGTATTTTATTGAGAAGAAAGACGCATTTCTCTCTGTCTTGCCAGGGAAGATCCTTGCAAGTAGAAAGAGGAAGCTGTGGAGAGGTCCTGTGAGGCTCACTGCCTTCGTAGTCCTGGGGGCTGAAAAAAGTCCACATCCAAAGTGGTTTTCTTGGAGTTGGCAAGGGATTTGTAAAGTTCTGACCAGCTGAAGGTTTTGCAGCCATCTCCTCTCCGACACATGTGTCTCCCCTCTTTCACCTTCTCCTCCTCTGATCCTTAATCTCCATCATCTGCTTCCATGGTTTGGCATGGCACCCAACAGCTGGCATCCTCTTGGCCGGAGTCATGCAACTTTACACACACACACTTACTTGTTTTACCCTGAATGCTCAATTAGCTTAGCCATCACGCAAAGTTGCAGCATAGGTGCTAATCGGACTTATTAAAGGTGTCTTTCCCGGATAAGGGATCACGCAGAGATAAAGACAGCCACCGCTGCCTCAATGAAGAGTGCTGACGAGTGTCAGTGCCAAGCGAGGGCTCTAAGGGGCCCTCCCTATTGGAAAATGGAGAAGGCTCAGTCATGTGTGTGAAACTGCTAAAAGTGTTGAAAGGTGTGTTGAAAGTGAGTGGTGATATTGCTTGTGTATTGTCTGACAGTGCTAATAGCTTTCTGTGCACACCTTCTGTAGTCACAGTAAGCTTTTTAGGCATTAATATTAACAGTAAATGTGGCATTTATCAGGAGTTATTTTAGGATCTCCTCCTCTGAACTCTCTCCTCTATTAACACCAGAGCCTCTATTTGTTTGCTCTGCCTCTGCTGGATGCCTTGTTATCAGTGGCAGTAGTGACCAGCTTAGCTGTCTTTTGATGCTACACTAATGAGATTAATCAGAGTGGAACATGAGGGATTTTTGGCTCTGTACACATGTGCAACCTCTGCCCTCCCTCTCTGTGGTCAACTGCCTTTACTCTCACAGTTTTTCCACTGGTATTTAAACATGGAGTGTGTCCAGAGCTTTTCCAGATAAATCTAAGATGAGCAGCAAGTACATATCCACATCCTTCCTGTGGTTGGAACAACAGTCATAATCTGCTCTTTTTTTTTTACGCTTCAACTTTTTTGAAAAGTGAGTCATTCACTGACAGCATGCTATGAAACCACAAAACCTGCAACCTTAAGTTTCGTTTAGATCTATAAACAGTTTCAGTCAGAGAAAAACAATTAAGATTTTTACTTCTTATACTGATGCAGTTCTCCTTTTTGTCCACAGGGGGGGACTGTGTGAAGTTGCTACTCAGTCATAACTGATGTCCAGTTCAGTTTGTGGTGACTAAGTGGGTACAGGATTTGGCTGTACTGTATAATATGTTTTGTCTTTTTAAAACACAGATTTACTGACTAAATTAACTCCATTATAAGAAAATTATAGGAATTACATGTACAGTGTGTGACCAGGTTTAGGGACAGACAAGAAGAAGAGAAATGGAGTAGCAGGTGGTTTTGGAAGCACACTGAGATTCTACCTGTCATCTCTGTTGCGTGACTCCTCAAGGGTGGAGCCCAGTGAACAGTGTGTACCTATGCACTGTATGTAAATAAACCCCTAGGCTGTCTGTATGTCTGCCAGTGTGTATGTGTAAATAACAAGTCGACATCAGACCGAGATTCTCTTCACACAGTTTACCTTATTCATCATATTCCATGAGATTCAGTTGTGATGTGTTTACGGGCACAATGAGATATATGACTGCCTCCTTTCTTTGCAAAGGTGTATAGTTACTCTGCTGCCTGTTTCTAGTTGAGAGAATACAGTGGAAATGCATATAATCGTGTTTTCCATGGTGCAGGTAAAGCATGCCGAGCCAGTGAAAATGGGCCACAAGTCCAGAGGGGCAAAGACCCCTTAAAAAAATAATAAGAATAATAATGACAATAATACAAAAATCCAAATCATCAGTCCTTAGCCTACAGGCTCTGTGGGACTTGTTGTCCCATGTTTTTAGTTTAATGTTTTAGGTCAGGATATCCATATTTTCAGCATTTTTAGGCAGTTCCCCAAGCGAGAAGGTCCATGTGAATGTGTGTGTGTGTGTGTGTGTGTGTGTGTGTGTGTGTGTTGACAGTCAGCAGGCTGTAATTCCCTTCTCTTCCATGTTAGGTCTCTGCCTTCACTGTAATTGCTGAGCTTGTTAAATATTTACCCTGAGGATTAACTATCCCTCCTCCTTTGTCTTTCTGCCCCGATTGCCTTTATTCTCCTCCGGTGTGTTTTTTGGAGTCTGTTTTGCGCGATTGTGTTTCACTGCTTTTTTATCTCATTATTGAGACTAGAAGTTTGCTTTGTTTCTAAAATTTAATCAGGTTATGACCATACTTTCAGATGGGATCAGATAATTAAGGAAAACCTTTGAGGGAATATTCCCTTTTTAATTAATTCATACTTTTTATAAGATGCAGACAGGGGGTTGTTTTTTTGTATTTCAGTGACATAAAAGCAATCATGATATGTTGTTAAAAAAAACAACTGATGAGGAGTCATTACTTAGATTAAGAATGTGAATCAATCAAGTGTGTGTCACCTTTCCTTTCTTTCCTCCTCTTTTCTCCTTTATCCTGTGTTCCTGGACTAGTATGAATTGAAACTGGCTCTAACAAGACCAGAAGTCAACAAGGCTTGTGATGAGATTCAGATGGGAGTAAGGCATAGGACTTGGAGACCATATAATAAAGGACATACCCTTTTCCCTAATGTTCAGCCTGCGCATTATAAGGCTAGTGTATGGCACTGCCACAGGCCTGATATCAGTTGATGTAATTCATGTTAATGCATTAATATTAGCTGCTGGCGTGATACGTGTCTCAGTAAATCTAAAGCAATGTTGGCGCTGCTTTTGTGGGCTTTGTTTGTGTGTAATGTGGTCACATCTTTGGTTGGTTTTGCGTGTTTTTTTTCTGTTGAGGCTTCATTCCCTCTTACTGTCTGCCTGTGATAAAGCGGAACAAACAAGAGTTCTTTGAGAAAAGTTAACTGTAAAGCATGCACGTTTGTCTGCTAAGTGTGTGCATTGGTGGGTACTTGCTATGGTGGCTATTTTGACTGTTGGTTGTTTGATGAGAGGCGACAGAGGCTTATTTTGACAGTGCTTGACCCTCGTGGCGCTGCGATCAGATTCCCAGTCACACCCTTGGGGGGGGGGGGCATTGGCACTAATCCATGTGTTTTTCTCATTGCCTGTTTCTACCTCTCCCTGTCCTCATCGTCATTCGTGGGATCACGTAGAAGGAATTTATCCCTAATTTCTTCCAACATTCCTGCTCCTCCACCCTCAGTATTGACTCACAGGGAATATGCTTTTGTTTAGTTTTATTCTTTTCATGTTCTTCCACATTTTTCAGCCACTATTTCAAATAGAAGGATATACCAGGATATACAACTTTATTGTCTATATACTCTAAAACCAGAACAAACTGAACAACCTTACACGAGCAGACTGTATTTGTGAATAACTGTGACTTGTGCAGTAGAGTTTTTCTTTTTATTTGATTTTAAATTAACATTAATGTCTCTTGTCGCTTTTGGTGTCTGTATTTTATCTGTTTCAGCCTGCCATTGTACTTCTGTAGACATTTATGGTTAATTAAGCAGAAGTTGAGGCATTCTTTAGCTGTTTCTGTCTGATATAATTTCAGTGGCTTTTTTTTAACCAAAGCAACAGCTGTGTCAGCACTGTCAGCTGGGTTAAAAAAGTTTGTGCCTTCCTTTGGAATATTACATAGGCTGTATCTTGAGTTGAGTATCTCTGTGGTTTCTTTAAGATAGCTAAAAGACCCTAATAAACATTATTTTACTATTTGTGTTCATGCTGATGATCATCTTTAGAGGCAGTAGTGTTTCATATGCATGTTTGGCAGATTAAGGCACATTTTTGTTTTAAAAATGTAAAATAAATTATGAAAAAAAAAAAAAACCTTTGCAAAGGTAAACAGTCGAATTCATGTCTCTTCTCAGAGAGATGCCTCCTGC